GAAAAACTGAAAACAAACCTAACTAAAGGAAGCTGCTTGTATAATACATAAAGTGGATAAATTAACAAAGCTACACAAAAAAACCTTGAAAGTGATTCCGTGATGCAAAATGAAGTACAGTCAAACCTGTATATAACGGCCCTGTATATAGCGGTCACCCTGTGTATAACGGTCACTGAACAACCTCCCAAAAATCGTCCCTTATATTTACTGCTAAGTTGACATGCATATAGCGGTCACCTGTATATAACGGACGCGGTCACCCCATAGACTTCCTGAATCCACAGTTTCATTATCTTTTACCTGTGTAAAACGGTCACGAAATTGGGTTACGAACGAATAAGGACAAGCTTTATTGATCAGCTCGTCAAATAGCAGCCACCAAAGCAGGGGTCTCACAAAAATACTAATGTTAGTACTAAACACAACTACTAATACATGCCATCGCCTACGTCCGACACATGCTTCCGGCAGATAACATTAAAGTGCCGTCACTTTCAAACAATAGTTACTGTAACTGTAACAACACAACCGTACCACACTGTTTTCACTTTTGTCACAGTACCCTGATTATAACACTGTGCTGTACTTATCAAGTCGACAGCCGCGGTATAAATGTATAAATTGAGTGATTATTTGCACATAAAAATGCTGAAGATTTTCGTAAGGCTTAGCGCTGCATCTGTGAGATCTAAAGGCTGGGATTGGCGGTACTGTTTTGGTTTTTAGGGGCGACAATTGATACGGAAAGCCCGCCACGCCCATCAGACCGAGCGCGGCTTTCATTGCCTGACTCCAAAAGCGCCTGTCCGAACCAAACACGCTTTGAAGCGCCCCTCCCCTGCTTTGAAAAACATTTCTGCTGTGATGTTGCGCTTTTCATCAATATTTATTTGTGCCACGAATTGGTTTTTATCAACATTCGGGAACAGTTTTGTGAATGCGGCCCACGCGCCTGGCTGGGCCGCGGCTCCTTTGGCTTTCGTATCTGGCCTTTGCGCCCATTTTTGAAAGTCCTTAAACGCATCGCTTCCACTTGTGTAAGCATCCATTTTGAACATGTTATATTTGTACAATATATCTTCTTCGAAGAAGAGAAATGGTTGTGCTTACGATTGTGGCGCAAAATAACGGAGAAACTCTGTACTTTGAGGAGCCGATCCCGAAGGTACATTTCATGAAACTCCTCTCTTGCAGTTTGTACAGTAGTTGGCATAATCTTGAAAAAGAAGGAAGCGCGGCCTTGGGTAACCCCGATAGCGCTCAAGGTTTATCAGTTGCTAAAATTCCCCCAGGGCATTACACTTTAGAGAGCTTGGCAAAAAAAATAGACGTCCTGTTTGACCGATCTGAATACCGCCAAATAGAAACAGAAACAAATCAACCTGTTGCCCAGCTTGTAATCAGAAATTTTGGAGCAAAACAAATTACCCTTGACCGTGATTTAGCCCATTTGCTTGGTATTGGGCGGAATTTAAAACTTATAACATACGTAAAACAGCTCACATCTCCCAACGACATACTTCGTTCATTGCGATCTGCTTGACAAAACCAAATACTTTTTAAACGGAGAAAGATCAGATATTTTAGCCAAATTTGATATAAAAGGACGGCCTTATCAAAAAATCGCCTATAGTTCGTCTCCCGGCACGAGGTTTTGCATGACTGCTCTACAGACGCCCGTGTAAATACAGTGGCGGATCTAGGGGAGGGGCCTGGGGGGCCCGGGCCCCCCTTATTTCGGGTGAAAAAAAGAAAAAAATGATTGAAGGAAGAAAAGCCGGCAGGGCAAGTAAAACTAAGTCGAGCCCTCCTCTTAGCTGAAAGTCTGCATCCGCCTCTGAAATATCACATCTGTCAGCGTCAAAGATGAAAATGGCGAGCTCTTTGATTTCAAAGGCCTGCCTCTAGAATTCGAATTATAAATTAATTAACTCTTTTTACACCATGTCGTCTGTGAACGTTCTGCCGTCTGCTGCCCCCCGCGCGCCGCAGCCATCGGCTCCTCCTGACCAGCACCTCTATCCCATTCTTCACGCCCCTGCTGAAAATTTTGTTTGCAAAACATCAACGAAATATCTGCCTTTTTGGACCAAGAAGTCGAGCACTATCGCCTTGTTGCTAAAAAATATAAACGTGCCAAAAAAATTGTTGAATGGCGGGCTGCTGTTTCTAGCCTTGCCTGGGCAGCCTTTTCAGGCGTGAGCTTTGGTTCGGCTCTTTCTATCATTGGTCTGCCTGCCACGATTCCATTAGGCGGCTTGGCGGGCGGTGTAGTGTCGCCATATTGCGTTACGGTCATGCGCACTAGGAGTCGATCAAGTGAGTAGTATCGAAGATTACTGTAATTTACTGTAAGGGAATAAATAACAAGTATTCACAATCAAGGACTCCATAACTGGCGACGAGGATAACTCAAGCGAATTCCACTACAGCAACATTTCACTTAATCGTCACTTTGGATCGAATACACTGGATAAACAATGGCAAAACATGTTCAGTTTTCAACGCCACGTACGCTGGCTGCCATTTGAGTAAGGCGGGAAACCAAAGTTGAACACTCACATATTGTCGTCATAATATTACATCGAAAGATTACATCGAAAAATTACCTCAAAAGATTATACGGGACGATCATACAGTTGCCGAAGTGAAATGGCGAATGTCTTACCTCCATTTCCTTCATTTTCCGTCCACGAAGACAACGCTTCAGTCGGCCCACGTTGGAAAAAATGGCTGAAACGTTTCCAAATGTATCTCGCCGCTCATGATGTGAAAGATGCAACACGCAAGAGAGCGCTGCTACTATACTCCGCTGGTGAAGAGGTCAGCGACATTTTTGAAACACTTCCAGATCGAGGAAAAGAAAAGGACTATGCGAAAGTAGTGACTGCTTTGAATGCTTATTTTCAGCCAAAAGTAAACAAAACCTACGAAATTTACATGTTCAGAAATGCTTCTCAGAATTCCGGTGAATCGCTAGATTCTTACTGCACATGGCTGAGGTGTCTTGCTCAAACATGCGAGTTTACCAACGAAGATGAAGAAATCAAGTCTCACAAGTCACACAGTCGTGTCCTGTTTATCTTCACGATTACGGCGAAGAGCTCTACGAGAAGACGTGGATCTCAAAGCCTTACTCGACTATGGTCGTGGTCTAGAAATGTCTGACAAGCAAGCTAAAGGCATCGAGGAACAGGAAAAGCTAGCCAAAGTAGCAGAAGTCCAAGTGGTGAGAGAGGAAAAGCCAAAGTCGGAAAACAAGAAGTGTTACAGGTGGGGAGAAAATTACCCTCATAAAGGACGACCTTGTCCAGCACTGAATGAAACTTGTAAACATTGTCGCAAGAAAGGCCATTTCACCAAAGTATGCCGAAGCAGATTAAATTTCAAGAAAGTCAATACA